GAGGAATGTGTAGCAGTGTGAGGCACTAGTGTGGAGGAGAGTGAGGCACTAGTGTGGAGGAGAGTGAGGCACTAGTGTGGAGCAGTGTGAGGCACTAGTGTGGAGAAGAGTGATGCACTAGTGTGGAGCAGTGTGAGACACTAGTGTGGAGGAGAGTGAGGCACTAGTCTGGAGCAGTGTGAGGCACTAGTGTGTAGCAGTGTGAGACACTAGTGTGGAGGAGAGTGAGGCACTAGTCTGGAGCAGTGTGAGGCACTAGTATGTAGCAGTGTGAGGCACTAGTGTGTAGCAGTGTGAGGCACTAGTGTGGAGGAGAGTGAGGCACTCGTGTGGAGCAGTGTGAGGCACTAGTGTGGAGCAGTGTGAGGCACTAGTGTGAGGCAATATTGTGAAGCATTGTTAGGCACTAGTGTGGAGCAGTGTGATGCACTAGTGTGGAGCAGTGTGATGCACTAATGTGGAGCAGTGTGAGGCACTAGTGTGGAGCAGTGTTAGGCACTGGTGTGAAGCATTGTTAGGCACTAGTGTGGAGCAGTGTGAGGCACTAGTGTGGAGGAGATTGAGGCACTAGTGTGGAGCAGTGTGAGGCACTAGTGTGTAACAGTGTCTGGCACTAGTGTGGAGGATAGTGAGGCACTAGTGTGGAGGAGAGTGATGCACTAGTGTGGAGCAGTGTGAGGCACTAGTGTGTAGCAGTGTGAGGCACTAGTGTGGAGGAGAGTGAGGCACTAGTGTGGAGCAGAGTGAGGCACTAGTGTGTAGCAGTGTGAGGCACTAGTGTGGAGGAGAGTGAGGCACTAGTGTGGAGCTGTGTGAGGCACTAGTGTGAAGCAGTGTGATGCACTAGTGTGGGGCAGTGTGATGCACTAGTTTGGAGCAGTGTGAGGCACTAGTGTGGAGCAGTGTGAGACACTAGTGTGGAGGAGAGTGAGGCACTAGTCTGGAGCAGTGTGAGGCACTAGTGTGTAGCAGTGTGAGACACTAGTGTGGAGGAGAGTGAGGCACTAGTCTGGAGCAGTGTGAGGCACTAGTATGTAGCAGAGTGAGGCACTAGTGTGTAGCAGTGTGGGGCACTAGTGTGGAGGAGAGTGAGGCACTCGTGTGGAGCAGTGTGAGGCACTAGTGTGGAGCAGTGTGAGGCACTAGTGTGGAGCAGTGTGAGGCAATAGTGTGAAGCATTGTTAGGCACTAGTGTGGAGCAGTGTGATGCACTAGTCTGGAGCAGTGTGATGCACTAATGTGGAGCAGTGTGAGGCACTAGTGTGGAGCAGTGTGAGGCACTGGTGTGAAGCATTGTTAGGCACTAGTGTGGAGCAGTGTGAGGCACTAGTGTGGAGGAGATTGAGGCACTAGTGTGGAGCAGTGTGAGGCACTAGTGTGTAGCAGTGTCAGGCACTAGTGTGGAGGATAGTGAGGCACTAGTGTGGAGGAGAGTGATGCACTAGTGTGGAGCAGTGTGAGGCACTAGTGTGTAGCAGTGTGAGGCACTAGTGTGGAGGAGAGTGAGGCACTAGTGTGGAGCAGTGTGAGGCACTAGTGTGGAGCAGTGTGAGGCACTAGTGTGGAGGAGAGTGAGGCACTAGTGTTGAGCAGTGTGAGGCACTAGTGTGAAGCAGTGTGATGCACTAGTGTGGGGCAGTGTGATGCACTAGTTTGGAGCAGTGTGAGGCACTAGTGTGGAGCAGTGTGAGGCACTAGTGTGTTGCAGTGTGAGGCACTAGTGTGTAGCAGTGTGAGGCACTAGTGTGGAGGAGAGTGAGGCACTAGTGTGGAGGAGAGTGAGGCACTAGTGTGAAGCATTTAGGCACTGGTATGGAGCAGTGTGATGCACTAGTGTGGAGCAGTGTGAGGCACTAGTGTGGAGCAGTGTGAGGCACTAGTGTGGAGCAGTGTGAGGCACTAGTGTGGAGCAGTGTGAGGCACTAGTGTGGAGCAGTGTGAGGCACTAGTGTGGAGCAGTGTGAGGCACTAGTGTGGAGCAGTGTGAGGCACTAGTGTTGAGCAGTGGAGGCAGCATTGTCATGCACCAGTGTGGAGCATAGTGAGGCACTAGTATGCAACGTTGTGAGGCACTAGTGTAGAGCAGTGAGACACTAGTGTGGATCAGTTTGAGGCACTAGTGTGGAGCAGTTTGAGACACTAGTGTGGATCATTGTGAGTCACTAGTGTGGAGCAGTGTGAGGCACTTGTGTGGAGACGTTTGAGGCAGTAGTGTGGAGCAGTGTGAAGCACTAGTGTGGAGCATTGTGATGCACTAGTATGGAGCAGTGTGAGGCACTAATGTGTAGCATTGCGAGGCACTAGCATGGTGCAGTGCGAGGCACTAGTAATGAGAAGTGAGAGGCACTAGTAAGCAGTGAGAGGCACTAGTGTGGAGCATTATGAAGCAATAGTGTGGAGCATTGTGAGGCACTAGTGTGGAGCATTGTGAGGCACTAGCATGGAGCCCTGTGAGGCATTAGCATGGAGCAGTGTGAGGCGCTAGCCTGGAACAGTGTGAGGCACTATTGTGGAGCATAGTGAGGCACTAGTGTGGAGCATAGTGAGGCACTAGTGTGGAGCATAGTGAGGCACTAGTGTGGAGCATAGTGAGGCACTAGTGTGGAGCATTGTGAGGCACTCTTGTGGATCAGTGTGAGGCACGAGTGTGGAGCATTGTGAGGTAGCAGTGTAAGGAACTAGTGTGGATTAGTGTGAGGCACTAGGGTGGAGTATTTTGGGGTACTAGTGTGGAGCAGCGTCGGACACAATTGTGGATCAGTGTCAGGCACTATTGTGGATCAGTGTCAGGCACTATTGTGGATTAGTTTGAGGCATGAGTGTGGAGCATTGTGAGGCAGCAGTGTAAGGAACTACTGTGGATTAGTATGAGGCACTAGGGTGGAGTATTTTGGGGTACTAGTGTGGAGCAGCGTCGGACACAATTGTGGATCAGTGTCAGGCACTATTGTGGATCAGTGTCAGGCACTATTGTGGATTAGTTTGAGGCATGAGTGTGGAGCATTGTGAGGCAGCAGTGTAAGGAACTACTGTGGATTAGTATGAGGCACTAGGGTGGAGTATTTTGGGGCACTAGTGTGGAGCAGTGTCAGGCACTAGTGTGGAGCAGTGTCAGGCACTGGTGTGGAGCAGTGTCAAGCACTAGCATGGAGCACTGTGAGGCACTTGTGTGGAGCATTGTGATGCACAAGTATGGAGCAGTGTGACGCACTAGCATGGAGCATTTTGAGCCACTAGCATGGATCAGCGTGAGGCACTTGTATGGAGCAGTGTGAGGCACTAGTGAGGAGCATTGTGAGGCACAAGTGTGGAGCATTGTGAGGCACTAGTGTGGAGCAGTCTGAGGCACTAGTGTAGAGCATTGTGAGGCACTATTGTGGAGCAGTGTGAGGCACTATTGTGGAGCAGTGTGAGGCACTAGTGTGGAGCAGTGTGAGGCACTAGTTTGGAGCAGTGTGAGGCACTAGTGTGGAGCATTGTGAGGCACTAGTGTGGAGCAGTGTGAGGCACTAGTGTGGAGCAGTGTGAGGCACTAATGTGGAGCAGTGTGAGGCACTAATGTGGAGCAGTGTGAGGCACTAATGTGGAGCATTGTGAGGCACTAGTGTGGAGCAGTGTGAGGCACTAGTGTGGAGCAGTGTGAGGCACTAATGTGGAGCAGTGTGTGGCACTAGTGTGTAGGAGAGTGATGCACTAGTGTGGAGCAGTGTGAGGCACTAGTGTGGAGGAGAGTGAGGCACTAGTGTGGAGGAATGTGTAGCAGTGTGAGTCACTAGTGTGGAGGAATATGTAGCAGTGTGAGGCACTAGTGTGGAGGAGAGTGATGCACTAGTGTGGAGCAGTGTGAGGCACTAGTGTGGAGGAGAGTGATGCACTAGTGTGGAGCAGTGTGAGGCACTAGTGTGGAGGAGAGTGAGGCACTAGTGTGGAGCAGTGTGAGGCACTAGTGTGGAGGAGAGTGAGGCACTAGTGTGGAGCAGTGTTAGGCACTAGTGTGGAGGAATGTGTAGCAGTGTGAGGCACTATTGTGGAGGAGAGTGAGGCACTAGTGAGACAACAGTGTGAGACATTGTACAGTAGATTGTACAATGTACTTAGTTTTGTTGGTGATACTAATAATGTACATTGAATGTGAGATTGAGTGATGATTACATAGGAATGTAACAGCACTTGTTACTCTGTTTTGTTATAGCAATGTGAACTACAGTCTAACTCCAAGTAATGCTCAAGTTATCTTCCTGAAAATCAACAAACGGAAATAGACTTGTATATAAATGGTACAGTACCAACATGATGAAGTTTTGCACACATAAACAACATCTAGGGATCTTTATTTGTAGATGTTTGATAATCTGTGTAACTGTATATATGTATACCTGAATAAATTTACTTTATTAATACAAATTCAAAGATATAATGGGAAAATTGTAAAAGTGTATACAAAAGACAAGGTAATCAGTCCCTCAGCCTGTGGTGCTCTTCACCAACACCAAGACTGAGGGACTGATTACCTCATCTTTTGTATATAGTTCTCCAGTCTTCCCATTATGTCCTTGAATTTGTATTGATAAAGCTACTGGATGGCAAAAAATCTGCAAATAAAGATACCCAGATGTTGCACATGTGTCAGAAATAGTTAACTAAACTGAAGAACCTACAGGAAAAACAGCATTATATTTTTGAGATATTGGTAACTGCCAAAGAAATTATCTGTTTTATCGACTTCAACTGGTAAATGGCTCTTCATTTAAAGAATTGGAGCTGTCCCTTTCCTTGGTGCAAATCTGATTACTCCCCATTTACCAGCTGTTGTTTGACCCTCATGGGTTTAGGTCTGCCCCATGAATATATGTATTAATAATATTCATTTACCTCCCCAGAGTAGGGTTTTCATGGTAAGCTAAAATAAAAAGCCCATATCTTCTTTACAATGAACTTGACAAATACTCTCATATGTTCTATCATAATCTTTAGGACTTACTTATCAATATCCGTTTCAGGAGAACCAACGGAAGTTCATGGACATCTTTGAGGACATCACAGACTCCCAGTACAAGATTAACTTCGTGTTAACCATGTTCTTCATTCTGCTGCCCATCACTCTTCTCTCCATGTGGAACCTTTATATCCACGTTACACAGCCAGACATTCTTCCAGTTTTCCGTCGCTTACCCAGCTTTCTACGAGTGTCTGTGTACACCTTCATCTTTCTCACACCTCTCGCACCCATCATGGCATACCTGGAAAATACTTACGCGCAGATGAAACACATGAATGTGACTGCCAGACAGATGCAAGAGGTTTGTGTTCAAAATTCATTTAATTTATGTGAATGCCTTCTGTTTTTATCAAAATTTCAATGGATATTCCTCATTATTACTTTTTAATAGGATTTTAAATGAAACATTATTAATAAACAGTAGTTCGTAGTTACTTGAAAGAATTCGAGGAAAAGTAATTAAGTTATACAGGTTTTCCTTGACTTATGATTGGGTTACACTCTTACAAGCCCGTTGTAAGTCAAAAATATCGTAAGTCAGAAATAAATACAACTTACTAAATAAATAACTACTGTCACTGAATAAGTAAATAAACAAATAATTACTGTAACTAATTAAATATCAGTATTGAAAAGTAAATAAAAAAAATATACAAATTATGGACTTGCCACCTTTGTGCTGGGTAATTACCTTAAGTTTCATCTCCAAAGTAATTGATTTTTGCACTGTTGTAAAGTTAAAATATCGTAAGTCAAGGAGCACCTGTATATGCAGGAGATTCTGTAGGTCCTGAGGAAGATTCACATCACAATGCCTCTCTTGGTCTTGTGGTGGCAGTACAAACGTAATAGATCATTCTTGTATGTGGGCTTTCTAGAAGCTTGGAACAGGAGCCTGTCTCTTCCAGTGCAGAATGATTATTGTCAATAATGATGAACAGTTGTGTCTTCTACACTGAATTTGATGATAGATTCAAGATTATTAATAATATTAAAGATTCTTGTAAGTGTCTTCAGAATGATGACCAAGATATCAATGCTACTCATACATTTAACCCTTTCAGGGTCCGTCCCGTAGATCTACGGCTTTACGTTCAGGGTCCAAACCGTAGATCTACGCCATGAGCTCAGCTCACTCTGATAAACTGTGAGTGGTACATTTGGGCCTAGATATGAGAGAATACATCTATGTGGTGTGTGTGCACCACATAAAACAGATCCTGCAGCACACTGTGTATAATGAGAGAAAAAAATGAAATCATGATTTTTCGATTAAAACAGCAACTTTGCAGTGTTTTTTCGTATGTTTTTTATAGTTGTATTTGCGATTTCTTGGTCTCATTTGATAGAATGGAAGACATATTACAGAAATAGAGAGGATTTTGATTGGTTTTAGCACTGGAAATGGCTTGAAACTGAGCTCAAAGTAGCAGAAATGTTAAATTTTTGCCGATATTCAAGAGTAAACAAACGACCTCACATGTCTAATACACGTCAGCTGGTGGGTCTAATATACATTCACAAATATGGTGATGATATTTATACAATTATTACAGTATTGCATAACAGTAAATCTTCTATTTTTGGTGTGAATAAAAATTCATTATGTGAATAAAAAATCAAAATGGAATTTATTTGTAAAGCCTCAAAACATAACTAATGAACAGAGGAAATGTTAGTTTAGTGCCAGGAATGCCTACATTGTTCATTCTGGACCCTATTTTGAAATTGGAATATTTTGAACTTTGTGTTAAATTGGCCAAATTAACAATTTCCGATCACTTTATTTTGTAGTTGAAACAGTTGACTTGGCGATTTCTTGTGCTCAATCGATAGAATAGAAAGTAATACTATGAAATAGCTAAGAATTTGGTTGATTGGAATAATGTAATTGGCCTAAAATGGGAGTCAAAGTCGGCAAAATCGCCGATTCGTAAATATCGCTGACACATCAAAATTCGCGAGAGCATAATTTCGTCAATTTTCCACCAAATTTCGTACTTTTTGTTTTATTACCTTCACAAAAAGATTCTCTACGATTTCATAAGAAAAAATAACAAATTTTTTTTTTTGGAAAATTCTTGGACACTGGTGCGTGACTCCAGATTTGGGCCTTGGACCCTGAAAGGGTTAATGGAGCTGGAATGATGGGCATGATATGGGTAGAATCAAGATGTTCTGTATGTTAGTTAGCATAGCCAAGACTGTGCTGATGGGTGAGCCTGTGGCTAAGCCAAACTGCTGTTTGTACAGTTCACCATCAAAGTTAAAGCAGTTAAATCTAAATCCCTTAGTCAGCCTTCAAACTCCAGTAGACCCTAACATAGTGCAAGGGTTACACGCATACCTGAAATTGATGCTTTATGTAATTTTGTGTAGTGTAATGTGAATTTATGGAAAAAATTGAGTTAGTCGTGATCTACAAAAAATCCAAACAAATTTTCGTAATTTCTTATTTGGTCAAAAATAATGTTTTCTTGATGAAATACATTGTAGATGTCATTTATTGCATGTTGATCAAGAAATGTGTATATACAGTGGAACCTCTACTTGCGAAGGTGTCCACGTGCGAGTTTTTCCAAATACAAGCAGTCGATGGGTCAATTGTTTGCTTCCATACGCGAGCAAAATTTCCACAAGCGAGCAGACCTCAAGGCAGGTTCCTTGACACTGGTGAGGGGCTCTTGCTCTTGATCTCGGGAATCTCATTTGTTTGTTGGACTATCTTATTGAAACTTGGACAATGTATGACGGAAAAATGCTTCTTAACGTACACCAAAAATGAAAGAAATCTAAGCATAAATAATGGAGTTCACCTTTCAGCAATTAGCCACCCCTTAGCGGTAATTTTGAAAGCTTTTAATGGTTGTATTCTCAGTTTTTGGTCTCAATTGATAGAATGGAAGATATATTACAGAAATAGATATGATTTTGATTGCTTTTACACCGAAAAGTGCATTGAAATTGAGCTCAACCTAGGAGAAATGGTCCATTCCTTGGCTGTTTCAGAGTAAACAAATGACGTCACTGTCCATTCCAATATGCAGTCGTGAATGGGTTGACATTATTTATACAATTATTGCAATAAGGAATAACAGTAATCTTATATTTTTTGTGTGAATAAAAATTACAAATTATTTATATAATAATAATAATAATAATAATAATAATAATAATAATAATGATAATAATATGTATAATAATAATAAGTATAATAATAAGAGTATAATAATATAATACAATAATAATAATAATAATAATAATATGTAGGTTGGTAGACAACAACCACCCAGGGAGGTACTACCGTCCTGCCAAGTGAGTGTAAAACAAAAGCCTGTAATTGTTTTACATGATGGTAGGATTGCTGGTGTCTTTTGTCTGTCACATAAACATACAAGATTACAGGTACGTCTTGCTACTTCTACTTACACTTAGGTCACACTACACATACATGTACACGTTTATTTATACACACTCATCTGAGTTTTCTTTGAGTTTATCTTAATAGTTCTTGGTCTTATTAATTTTCCTTTTATATCCATGGGGAAGTGGAATAAGAATCTTTCCTCTGTAAGCCATGCGTGTTGTAAAAGTCAACTAAAATGCCGGGAACAATGGGCTAGTAACCCCTTTTCCTGTAATAATTACTAAAAAGAATAAGAAGAAAATTGCCAAAGTGGGATGTTTGAATGTGTGTGGATGTTGCGCAAATGATAAGAAATAGATGATTGTGGATGTTATGACTGAGAAGAAGCTGGATGTCCTGGCTTTAAGTGAAACAAAGCTGAAGGGGGTGGGAGAGTTTTAGTGGAGAGGAATAAACGGGATTAGGTCAGGGGTTTCAAATAGAGCTAGAGCTAAAGAAGGAGTAGCAATAATGTTGAAGGATAAGTTATGGCAGGAAAAGAGGGACTATAAATGTATTAATTCAAGGATTATGTGGAGTAAAATAAAGGTTGGATGTGAAAAGTGGGTTATAGTAAGCATATATTCACCTGGAGAAGAGAGAAGTGTAGAGGAGAGAGAGAGATTTTGGGTAATGTTGAGTGAATGTGTGTGGAGTTTTGAACCAAGTGTGAGAGTAATGGTGGTTGGGGATTTCAATGCTAAAGTGGGCAAAAATGTTGTCTAGGAAGTAGTAGGTAAATTTGGGGTGCCACGAGTAAATGAAAATGGGGAGCCTTTAATTGAGCTGTGTGTAGAAAGAGGTTTGGTAATAAGTAATACATATTTTATGAAGAAGAGGATAAATAAATATATAAGGTATGATATAGCACGTAATGAAAGTAGTTTGTTAGATTATGTATTGGTGGATAAAAGGTTGATGGGTAGGCTCCAGGATGTACATGTTTATAGAGGGGCAACTGATATATCGGATCATTATTTAGTTGTAGCTACAGTTAGAGTAAGAGGTAGATGGGAAAAGAGGAAGGTGGCAACAACAAGTAAGAGGGAGGTGAAAGTGTATAAACTAAGGGAGGAGGAAGTTTGGGTGAGATATAAGCAACTATTGGCAGAAAGGTGGGCTGGTGCAAGTACAGTGGACCCCGGTTTACGATCAGCTCCCAATGCGACCAATTATGTAAGTGTATTTATGTAAGTGCGTTTGTATGTGTATGTTTGGGGGTCTGAATTGGACTAATGTAATTCACAATATTCCTTACGGGAACAAATTCGGTCAGTACTGGCACCTGAACATACTTCTGGAATGAAACAGTATCGTAAACCGGGGGTCCACTGTATTAGTAGTGGGTTGGAATAGTTTTAAAAATGCAGTATTAGAATGTGGGGCAGAAGTTTGTGGTTACAGGAGGGTGGGTGCAGGAGGAAAGAGGAGTGATTGGTGGAATGATGAAGTAAAGGGTGTGATAAAAGAGAAAAAGTTAGCTTATGAGAGGTTTTTACAAAGCAGAAGTGTTATAAGAAGAGCAGAGTATATGGAGAGTAAAAGAAAGGTGAAGAGAGTGGTGAGAGAGTGCAAAAGGAGAGCAAATAATGGAGTGGGAAAGGCGCTGTCATGAAATTTTAATGAAAATAAGAAAATGTTTTGGAGTGAGTTAAACAAGTTAAGAAAGCCTAGAGAACAAATGGATTTGTCAGTTAAAAACAGAGTAGGGGAGTTAGTAGATGGGGAGATGGAGGTATTGGGTAGATACCTGGAGTTTACCTGGAGAGAGTTCTGGGGGTCAACGCCCCCACGGCCCGGTCTGTAACCAGGCCTCCTGGTGGATCAGAGCCTGATCAACCAGGCTGTTACTGCTGGCTGCACACAATCCAACACAATCCAACATACGAGCCACA